ATTAGATTATTAAAAAATTCTCTTTTAATTTCAAGGGGCTGCCACAAAATTAGTTTCCATGGGGTTCATGTTTTTTTTCGATGGAATATTTCTTGAAATCAAAGCAAAGATACCTTTCAAAACAAAAATCATAAAAATATAATAAAAAACACTTTTAAGCAGCTAATTTATATAATTTTCTTAATTCAAATTATGAGTATCTATTGGATTTTACTCCCTTTAAACAATAAAAAATCTCTTAATTATATATATAAATATATTATTCAATAGGGACACATCAGGCTTTTAGCTAGATACAATAGCTTTAACTTTGCTAAGCAAAGGTCTCTGCATCAATAATAAGGTCGATGAAGCACTCGTCTTTCATCATGATGTTTTGAGAAAAGGATTTCAGTTAAGCCTGATTTAGTTATGTACGACACAGTCATAGATGGTCTTTGTAAAGAAGGGCTTGCAATTGAGGCAAAAAAATTATATCAGGAAACGACTAACAAGGGAATTTCTTCTGATATTTTTACACACAACTCCCTGATATATGGTTTCTGTTGCATGGATCAATGAAAAGAAGCACGTGGTTGCTAAACGGTGCTGGAAGGCATCAGGCCTAGTATTGATATACATTTAATATACTGGTGGATGCATTTTGTCAGCCAAAAAAAAAAAGGCTGTATAACCAAAGCTGAGGCAATAGTTGGTAGGATGATGAAATGTGGTATAAAGCCTGATGTTATTGGTTACAGTGCTTTAATGGAGGCGTGCTGTATGATGAATAACGTTGATGAGTGAAAGAAAGTTCTCAATAGAATGATCAAAAGTGATGTGCTGCCTGATGTTTTCAGTTACAGTATCTTGATTAATGGGTTATGTAAAATTAGAAACTAGTTTCAGTACTTATCACATTGATAAGCATCTTAAACTTATCAGATCTTGACCATTGAGATCTCATTTGAGTGATTAGATTTTAAAATTTCAATTAATTATTTTTAAATAAAAAATTATTTTTTTAAATGATAGTTGAGAAATTATCTTTATTTTATATTTTATACATATTAAAATTATTATCTTAAACAAAATAAATTAAATCTGGATTATCTAAATGAAATTTAGACGGTCTAGATCTGATGAGTTTAAGATGCTCATCAAAATGATGAATATTGTAAATGGTTCTTGTAAAATTAGTAGGATTGGTGAGGTCATAGATTTCTTTCAAGAAATGCGTTGCAAAGGCTTGGTTCCTCATATTGTCACTTACGCTTCTCTTGTTGATGAAGCAGTCATGCTAGTTGATAAAATTAGTGGCCTAGGAGTAAAGCCAAAATACATAGACACACACCATACTGATTCATGGTGTGTGCATGGGTGGTAGATTAAATACAGCCAAGCAGGTTTTTCAGTATCTTTTGGTCAATGGTCATCCTCTAAGTGTCCAAGCACATGCTTCTATGATTAATGAATTTTGTAAAGTGGGCTTGTTTGATGAGGCAATGGCGTCACTTTTTCAAATGGGAATCCTCCGAAATTAGAAATGTAACTTAGTAATCCATATACAATTTTTATTTTTCACTTGTTAAACTATTTATCTAAGGTTTCTAATCAACTATCCTAATGTTTAACTGTGAATGGATAAAAGGCTTAAAAATATCTTGAATAACATGGTTGATCTTATGTAGAATTTAAGCAATTTTAATTTTATAATCTAAAATTACTTTGATAACCGTCTTCTTCCACAACATATGTACTTCTTCCAGTCCAAAATGTGATGCACCTTTTAGAAGATTTCCTTGTTCCATAATATTAGTCACCTAAAAAGTTATTAATTATGATTTTTAATCTTGCCCTTATTTATTGGTAGTCGTATACATTTCACAGAAAAAAGTGAGGCAGGTTTGAATTGCGTAAGGTTGATTTTTTTTTTTTTTTGCTCCAATTTAAAACATAATAAGTTCACTACTCTCCCTTTATGCCGGGTAGTTGAAAATGATTTATGTTTTGGACGAGACTGGGTATACACGCATATACATGGCAGGATTTCAATAGTGAAATCAATAACAAATAACATGTGGTATCTAATAAGTTATTGTTTAATAAAACTTGCAAGCTCTTGATGCTAGATGGTGTTGATCTTACTATTTGGATTAGCTTCAACTTTATGTTTGTGGTTTGATGTTTAAGGTAACATGAGTGTCTTAATTATTGCCTTAGTATTTTCTATGGTCTGTCTTGTGTGCTTTCTTATAATTTGGTGTCGCAAGCCTTGTTATGTCATTTCTTTTCCATAATAGTTATTTTATTTTCAGTCCAAATGCTAAACATATATCACATTGACTCGTTTACAACATAAAAGTAATTCTATTGTACTACCTCATATCATAAATATAAGAGCTAGTTGACTAATTTAAGCAGATTAAGAAAATAAATTAAGTTAGTTATTTCTAATAAATAGATTTTGTTTTTTCTAAAATATTCTTGCTAATTAAGTCTATTGACTAGAATTACTATTATTAGAAAAACTATCTTAAAAAAAAATATGTATAAACATAAGAGATAAAGTGGATTAAAATCTTATATATAGGACCAAAATAAAAGTCAAACGAAGTCTTATATTAAGAATCAAAAAACGCACTACCTCTTGCCCTTAATAAAAGAGCTAATTAACTAATTTAAGTAGATTAAGAAAATTTATTAAGTTAATTATTTGTAATAAATAATTATTATCTTTTCTAAAATACCATTACTAATCAAGTGTATTAGCTTCAATATTTGATGAAACATTTGATATGTGCAACTACTATAAAAACTATTTTCGAAAAAAATGAATAAATATAAGAGACAAAATAAATTAAAGTCTTATATTTAAAATCAAATAGAAAGTCAAATTGGCTTTTATATTCAAGACCGGAGATAGTATATGATATATACTTGTCTCCTGTCCTAAATATAAATATATTTATTTTGTAGTATAATCACTGCAAAATAAATATTATATTTAGGAGCGGAGGTAATATTTCATAACTTTAGAACATAATCAATAAAATTCAACAAAGAAGCAAACAATCACAGCAACGAACTAAATACAAAAGCCAGACTAATGACATGGAAATTTATAAGCAAACTGAAATAAAGAACAATTTGATCTTATAAGTAAGATTTAACTGGCAACCTCCCATTTATAGAATAACTTTCATATTGTTAAGCCACAAGGTTCTTATTTGCTTTGAATTACTTATTCCAAACCTTTAAAAAAAAATGCTCCATAATAATTTTTGGAGTAGTATTCATTCAGTTAGTGAGCAATAATGGTGTTTTCTTTTTATTCCTATACCTACTTATTATTTTGACAGCAGGGAAATAATATTGATTGTTTTTTTTAATTGATATTCAATTTTTTTGATGGTCTTAATTTATTTGTAAAAATGAATGCATTCCAGAGAAGATTGAAATGCTAAAATGATTTGATTCTACAAGTTTAATAAATGATTTGATAACTGGATAAGTGAAAGAATCAGATATAAAAATTGATAAAATATATTTGTGTTAGGTCCCTCAATCAATTTGGCCTCTAAAAATGATAAGTTATAAATATTCTGAGTTCCAACATTATTAACTTACCTGCCTAAGTCTAAAGTATGAAACAAACAGAAAATGGATTTAATATTTTTATTAAAGTTTATAAATTTAAAATAATAAGCAAATGAAAATTATTGAAATTTGATTTGAATAATTCTAATTGAAAAGAAGAGCGAGAGTCAGAAAAAACTGAAGTTAAAAAAACTAATCTTTATTGAGAAATTTAATATATAAGTTCAAGTAATTTAATTAACTTAGGCATAAAAAACTTGGACACCACTACCACAGGCAACGGTAAGGGTTGATGTGGATGGATCCGTACGAGGTGATATGCAAGCTGCTTGCGGAGGACGTATCAGAAACAGTGAAGGAGCGTGGGTGATGGGCTTCCAGAAAAGCATTGGCCTCTGCTCAGTTACTGAAGCCGAACTGATAGCGATCAGTACAGGACTGGAAGTTGGGAAGCAGCTAGGCTTTCCTAAGATGAAAATCTACACAGACTCTTTGAGATCCATTATTGCCGACATCAGAGATCAGATATTTGATCAGGAAGTGGAGTTCTTCTACACTAGCAGGAATAATATCATGTACGCCGACTATATATCTGGCCAAGACAGGACACAGAGTGGGGAGGCAGGTGAAACTCCTCCCTAACGAACCAGAGGAAAGCACCTTGCGAGTGGCACCAAATGGTGATGCGTACTAGCTTTCTGACTGACCTGGGATGATCGTCTAATCCCGTTTTCTCTTGTTCTTTTAAGTTTTTTGTTATCTTTCCTCCAAGCATAGCTTGTCCTTATCTGTTCAAACAAACAAAGTATAAAAAACTTGATTAATTCTGTTAATAAATATATACTTAACTAAATGTATTTATAAATGTTTATTGTTTGTAGCAAAAAATGTGCTTGATAATTTTAAATTATAAATTTAAATGATATAGTAATATATGATATTATGAAAACAAAAGCTGATTATTTTGAGAAACTCAGTAGATTCTGAAAACAATACTCCATCCAGTTTAAAATATGAGATAAATTTTGTTGGAGCGGTTTGATTTTCTTATAAGATAACATATACTTTTGTCTAAGCATTTAATAGTTTTTTTTTCAATTTTATCCCTAACATATATTTTCTTTTATTTATTACATCTTTTATTTATTCTTTTTATTAATAAAAATATATTTAAAAAAATACATATCTTATATATTTATTATTGTAAACTGATTTTAAATAATTTTTTTATAAATATAAATAGATAAAATTTATATTATATTTTGAAGCAGGGGTAATAAAACCTCTAATCTCCAAAATTATTTCATAATCCAAGCCATCAGTCCATCAGAGCTTAAACGAAATGGTTCTTCGGCTTCGCAACCACGTCATCACTATTGCTAACTTCCTCCTCAAAGCAATCTCAGTTTCTGAAAGCGAATATGTTTTTCGGTAGGGCTTTAAGGTACGCCTTCTCCGCATCATCTCTTTCCCTGCCTCATGCTCTTAGCCCCAGTTTCCGTTTTCTTTCCCGTTCGCCAAATCCTAAGAGCATTGAAGAGGCTATCTCTTCATTTCATGGCTTGCTTCATATGAATCCCCAACCCTCTATAGCTCGTATTAATAAGATTCTAGGATCTCTCGTGAAGATGAAGCATCACCGAACTGCTATTTCCCTTTTCGCAAAAGCAGAATGCAAGGGATTCACGCCTTCTTTAGTTACTCTGAACATCTTAATCAATTGTTACTGCCATTTGGGCAATATGTCTTTTGCTTTCTCTATACTAGGGAAGATTCTCAAGATGCGCCGTCAGCCAGATATAATAACTTTAAGTACTCTGTTGAAAGGTCTCTGCATTAATAATAACGTTAGAGAAGCCCTTGTCTTTCATAGTGACTTATTGACAAAAGGTTTTCAGTTAAATGAAGTAAGCTATGGTACCCTGATCAATGGCTTCTGTAAAATTGGAAAAACGTCCGCTGCTCTTAAATTGCTTCGAAAGATGGAGACAGGGTTAGTTAAGCCTGGTTTAGTTATCTACAACACAGTCATAGATGGTCTTTGTAAAGAAGGGCTTGCAATTGAGGCAAAAAAATTATATCATGAAATGACTGATAGGGGAATATCTCGGGATATTGTTACCTACAACTCTCTAATATATGGTTTCTGTTGCATGGATCAATGGCACGAAGCCACTTGGTTTCTAAATAAAATGGTCGTAAAAGGCATCAGACCTGGTATTTATACCTTCAATATATTGATAGATGCATTTTGTAAAAAGGGGAGGATAACCAAAGCTGAGGCAATAGTTGGTAGGATGATGAAATGTGGTACAAAGGGTGATGTTATTACTTACAATTCTTTAATGGATGGGTACTCTATGATGAATAATGTTGATGAGTCGAAGAAGGTTCTTAATAGAATGATCAAAAGTGATGTGTTGCCTGATGTTTTCAGTTACACTATCTTGATTAATGGGTTATGTAAAATGAAGAGGATTGGTGAAGCCATGGATCTCTTTCAGGAAATACAATGCAAAGGTTTGTTTCCTGATATTGTGACATATAGTAGTCTTATTGATGGCCTGTTCAAATCAGGAAAGATCTCAAACGTGCAGGAACTTATTTACGATATGCATGATAGTGGTCATCTACCAAATATAGTAACCTACAATGCCTTGTTGGATGGATTGTGCAAGAGCCAGCGTCTTGATGAAGCAATTATGCTATTTAAAAAAATGGGCGTACTGGGAATACAACCTGATATTTACATATATACCGTTCTTATTGATGGCTTGTGCAAAGGGGGCAGGTTAAATGCTGCACAACAGATTTTTCAGTATCTTTTAGTCAAAGGCTATCGTTTGGATGTCCAAGCATATACTGCTATGATCAATGGACTTTGTAAGGAGGGCTTGTTTGATGAGGCAAAGACATTACTTTTTCAAATGGGAGAGAATGGATGCCTCCCAAATGTTGTAACTTTTGAAACAATCATTGGAACTCTTCTGGAAAAAGGAGACAATGATAAGGCAGAGAATCTTCTTGATGAAATGATTGTTAGGGGTCTCCTAAAACGATAAAAGAAGGTTAGATACTTGTGTTCATGTTGACATTTGTTGTAATAATTGACTAATGTTTTTGTTACTCTGGTGAAAATTGTCGACCCTATAATCTTTTACAACCATTGACATTGAAAGGCAATTGCATTGATCTGCCTCTGCTTTTGTAGTTCGAAGTTAAAGTTCTTTTCTCTCTGAGCTCTGTGTGTGTGTTTGGTATTAACCTCAGCTGTTTTATCCTTGGTGTGCGTTGGGTCCATGTCAATTGGATTGTTTAATTGCGTATACTGTAATTGAACTTTCTATTCTACCCTTGTGATATGTACCAATATATCCTTGTGAAGCAATGGAAACAATTTTATGATTCGACAGTGGTAGGTTCTTCATTCATATGCAAATAAATTGGAATTGGGCCTACTTCTTTTTTGTTTTCCGCCGACAGTTGCCATCTTTTCCTTTTTTTGAAGCTGAGTGCATATGCATATACCTGTTTAATTGAAAAGAAAAAGTAAAAAAAACACTCAGCAAATTTCTGTGACATAACCCATGTGAAACTGCAACACAGGTCAGTGCTTTATCCTCATGACATTTTTAATTTATCTCGTTTCCAAAATACAACCTCGTTTCTGTTTGCAGGTTTGGGGATGAATACCATTTGGAAAGTGATTAAATGTCCTTTTCTAATTCGATGCGTGGAGATTGTGTTTTTAGAAAATCAGAGCTTTCCTTGTTTTTCTATGAAGTCAGGTGCTTGTGGTTATAATGTACTATCTCCAATCCTTAATATAAGAGTTAGATGACTAATTTGGAGAAATTGAGAAAATTAGTTAAGTTGGTTAATTACTTCTCTAAACTATTTATTTTAATAATGTGCATCACCCCTTGATGGAACACCCTACAAATCAATGAGAATACTTTAGAGAAAAGTTATAAATTTGGGAGACAAAATGAATTAATATACTCCTCCGGTCCTTAATATAGGACCCAATTCTTGAGTTGGTTTTGATCCTAAATATAAGACCCATTTCTCATATTTATCAATTTTCTCTAAATTACCCTTATGGATACTCCCTCAACTATAATCAAGTAGAAGAGGGAGATGGGGTATTAAGAAAGATGATTATGGTGTTTTAGAAAAAATGTGTCACTTTTCTTAAAATTAACTAACTTACCTAACATCCTTAATCTAATCAAATTAGTTAAATGGGTCTTATATTAAGGATCGAAGGAGTATTATATTTAGAATCAACATAACCTTCCAACTAACTCTTATATTAAGGACTGGAGGTAGTGTCTGATTGTTAATATGATGAACAGAAGTATGTTACATTATTTCATAGTTCATTGGAATGCTTGTATTTAAGAGTAGGTTCAAACTCTGAAACAGTTGAAAAAGGCACCCTTTGTGACAGGACTGTTTTGGAGATTAGAGGCATCATGGTTGTGAGAATGATAAGTCTGTTTTGGAAGCTTTCTCCTAAATTCCCTCTTCGTCTGCTTTAACCAAACATAGGACTCTTGTTTCTCTTCCTTATGGTATTTCCTGATGAGGGTGTTTAATGGTGACTTTGGGTTTTCTCAATTCAGTATGCATAATTTGCCATGTTTGCGGATGACCCTGACGGGTTGGGTGAATTATCAGCAAGTGTCTCGGCCAGTGATTGCTGCAATGCATCCATTCCTTGCGACAGAGCATCTCCCATCCCATCATTTGTTTGCTCAGGTAAGGACTCCAATTGACGAAAAAGAAGCTGCACCAGACTCAATTCAGTTTGAAGTTAGACAACATATTATGGAAGGACACATACTTCGGTACAATGAATATAATCTACTAAGTGCCTATTTGGATTAGTGGTAAATAACTATGATTCTAGATAATCATAAATTTTATAAGTGACATTAACTATAAGTGATGTTAGTTAATTGTAATTTATGTTTGTAATTTAGAGAATGAAAATTGTGTATTTTATTGATACTTCGATTGGGTATTTATATACAATAGAGGAGCCTAGGTATTAATGGCTCATTAATATGAAATCATATCACATCATATCCTATATACTAATTACAGGATATTTACATATCTTATAATATCTCCTACAATATCTCTACACTCCCCCTCAAGTTGGAGCATAGATGTCAATCATGCCCAACTTGTTACAAAGATATTCAACTCGAACCCCATTGAGAGCTTTGGTGAGAAGATCACCCAACTGGTCGCTGGATCTGACATGTCCTGTAGAGATGAAGTTTTCCTTGAGCTTGTCTCGAATAAAATGACAGTCAATCTCAATATGTTTCGTTCGTTCATGAAAGACCGAGTTCGAAGCTATGTGTAGGGCTGCTTTATTATCACACCACAGCTTTGCTGGTAACGAGGTTTTAAGACCAACCTCTTTTAGTAGCTGGTGTATCCAAACTATCTCACATACAGATTGCGCCATGGCTCTGTATTCCGCTTCTGCACTCGATCGTGACACCACATTCTGTTTCTTGCTTTTCCAGGACACCAAGTTGCCTCCTACAAAAACACAGTATCCTGTAGTCGATCGTCTCGTGGCTTTCGACCCACCATGATCAGCATCACAAAAGCACTCAATGTCTGTGTGACCATGATTCTTGTACAATATCCCACGACCCGGGGATCCCTTCAAGTAGTGTAACACATGCTCTAAGGCTTCCCATTGTCGGACAGTTGGCGCAACCATAAATTGGCTAAGGACACTTACTGGATAGGTGATATCAGGACGGGTCACTGTAAGGTAATTCAACTTCCCAATCAGTCTCCTATACCTCTCTGGATTTTCAAATGGCTTGCTCTTAGCAGCCTCATCAGGATTTTCACATGGTATGCTACCATCAGCATCAAGCAGAGGATTATAGACCATAGGGAAGCTGGTCGGGGCAGCCCCTAGTTTCCCAGTTTCTTTCAACAGATCAAGAACATACTTTCTCTGAGTCAATAAGATGCCTTTCTTGCTCCTCATGACTTCAATTCCCAGAAAATACTTCAATGAACCCAGATCCTTCGTTTGGAAATGTGAGTTAAGGAACGACTTGAGAGATGAGATCCCCGAGGCATTGTTTCCTGTAATCACAATGTCATCGACATACACAACCAGTAGAATCATGCCAGCACTTGTTTGCTGATAGAACACAGAATGATCACACTTACTCTGGTGCAGGCCAAAGTTTTTCACAACAGTACTAAATCTGTCAAACCATGCCCGAGGACTTTGTTTTAAGCCATAGAGTGATTTCTTAAGGCGACACACCTTCCCACGCTCCCCCTGAGCAACAAAACCTGGTGGTTGCTCCATATACACTTCTTCAAGGAGATCACCGTTCAAGAATGCATTTTTGATATCTAATTGATGGAGATCCCAACTATAGGTAGCGGCCATGGAGATAAACAGACGAACCGAAGAGAGCTTGGCCACGGGAGAAAAAGTCTCAGAGTAGTCAATACCATACTTTTGAGCATAGCCTTTTGCGACAAGGCGAGCCTTGAGGCGTTCAAGTGTACCATCCGCCTTAACTTTAGGGGTCAACACCCACTTACACCCAATAGCTTTCTTTCCTGCTGGTAAATCTACTAAGGTCCATGTGCCAGCACAATGAAGAGCCGCCATCTCTTCTTCCATAGCAGTACGCCAACCCGGGTGGGACAAGGCTTCATGAAGGGACTTAGGTACTGAAATAGTATCTAAAGAGGCAACAAAGGCACGAGAAACAGAGGGGAGGTGGTTATATGAAACAAAAGAAGAAATAGGATGGGCACAAGTACGTTTACCTTTGCGAAGGGCAATGGGCAAATCAAGAGAGGGATCTGGATCTGGAACAGGAGGTGTCTCAGAGTCAATTGAGGGATCGGCATCTAGACCTGGGGCAGGGTCAGGCTCAGGGTGCATGATGCTTGCTGCAGGATCAGATGACGAAGCAGATAATGGTGGAGCAGAATGTGGCGCAACAGTAGGAGTAGTTTCCTTCAAACGTCTGGTGTAGACCCAAGACAAAGATGGTTGACCAGGTGCCAGTACGGGAGCTGGTGCTGGTGGTAAACTTGGACTAACAGAATATACCAGAAAGGTATCCTCCTCCGCCGGTGGAGAAGGTGCAGCGGAAGCATTAGGTGCAAAGTAGGCAACAGATTCCTGAAAAGTGACATCGGCTGAAACCAAATAACGATTCAAAGTAGGAGAAAAACATCGATAACCCTTTTGAACTCGAGAGTAGCCAAGAAAGACACATTTAAGAGACTTGGGGTCCAATTTAGAGACCGTGGGACGCACATCTCGAACAAAACAAACACAGCCAAAGATCTTAGGATCAATAGGGAACAAAGCTTTGGAAGGAAAGAGAGTGGTGTAGGGAATGTTACCATCAAGGACAGAGGAGGGCATGCGATTAATAAGAAAACAAGCTGTGGAGACTGCATCTGCCCAGAATGGTTTTGGAACCTGCATTTGAAATAAAAGTGCACGGGCCACTTCTAATAAGTGACGATTTTTTCTTTCGGCCACACCATTTTGAGCCGGTGTATCCACACAGGAAGATTGATGAAGAATGCCATGTTGAAGCATAAAAGAGCGAAAGGATTCAGAAAAATATTCTTTAGCATTATCACTGCGCAAGGTGTGGACAAGCGTATTGAATTGAGTTTTAATTTCGGCAACAAAAGTACAAAAGTGAGAGAAAAGCTCAGAACGATTTTTCATTAAATATAGCCAAGTGGTACGGGAATAATCATCAACAAATGTGACAAAATATTTAAAACCACCTTTGGACTCAACTGGACACGGACCCCAAATATCGGAGTGCACTAACTCAAAAGGGGACGAAGCCCGTTTATTGACTCTAGACACTAACGGTAGACGATGATGTTTAGCAAACTGACACGACTCACAATCTAAAGACGACAAATGCTGAAACTGAGGATAAACCTTTTTTAAAGAGGATAAAGATAAATGACCCAAACGACAATGTGCTTCAAATGGAGTGACACCACCAGTACAAGCCAC